GTGCCCATGATCGGCGACCAGCTTAATCGGCGCCGGAAATTTATCACGGCTGGGATTCTGGGGGAGGAAATTCGATTCCGGTGGCAAGGACTTCGAAACAGGGGAGTCTATGTAGTGGCGATTATCGTGGCTTGGGTGTCGGGGGATCTCCCGGAGATTAGGGACTGATTTCTGGGGCAAAATGATCTCAAGATCGGGGGATACCAGACCAGTAGAAACCGGATTTATATACTGCTGCCTAAGTCACTTTAAGGCTCTAGACGGTGGCTCCCGCTTGATTGTACCGTTTGAACCCGCCGAAACTTGGCGCCATCACCACCTCTTTACGCAGCTCCCCCATTGATTCCGGGATGGCAGAAGCAGCAGCTTTAGAGGAGGTATTCACATTCCCTCAATCGGACGGTTTCATGATCGACATCCAACAGGAGGTTCGGAGTTTGGAGAAGATCCTGGATATCGGCGGCGAATCCACCATTGCTGCTCCAGAGCAGCTCCTCCACTTTCCAACTGTAGCTGAGTGGACACAATCCGCTAACGATGGGTCGGTTGAGGAATGCCCACCTTATCAGACTCATATTTCTCACCGTCCGAGCCGGAGTCTTCAAGGGGTCCCCTTCCGTCGCCGCCGCCGACGCCACCAGCGAAACTGCTATTGCAATTTACCCGGTTGCTGGAGGGTCTGGGTATTGGAAGTATTGGGCACAACACCAGCGCCGCCGACTAGTTTACCTTGATTTCACCATCGGTGAAGTAGAGTATCTGTGTATGAAAGAGGAGAAGGGGCGAAGGCAGCTAAGGGATTCAGTTTCTTCAGCACCATTTTTTTCTTCCGATTGGCAGCTTGACTTTCTTTACACGCTAATGTTTAGGGCGGAAGTTTACAGCGGGAAAGCAAAACTTACAGATTTGCAAATTGTGAGAACATACTTACTATATAAATCATCAAGGTTTCTTCCATTCAAGCTTTCCGAAAGACTACTGAACGAGCACTTGTAATCCCTGAAGGTGAAATACTTTGCAAGGTAATTGAAAGTTTTTAATTGATACTACGCATTTAGTATAATCTTAATTTTTGTTTCAGTTCCTATCGATCACAAAAGGGTTGTTCGTGCATATATACATCTGTACCTGGATGTGAGATCCTAATGACCCTCATTCCTTTTTCTTTTGTTCTTGTTATCTGCTGGGTTTTTCTGGATTGGCACTTTTATTGGTTACTCTTTCGTAGCTAACATAAATCCTTGTCTTCGAAAACAGGCTAAAGCAAGGTCAATATATTGATTTATCTTATTAGCTTATATTATATACAAACGAGGAGAAACAAAATTGGAATCACCGACCGGCCTCAGCGCCAAGAGATGAGTCAAACGAGGAAGTAAGTGAGAACTTTTAAATTGTTTATATTTGATCTTCATCTTTCTTGTCTTTTCACTTGTGTATTACTTATCTTTTACAGGTTACAGAGAGTGAATAATCTGAACAAATTTAAGAGATGTCATCATTGGAATTCCTCGAGGGGTGTAGCTCTTTTCAGGAGGATTATCAGTTTAGACTTTAGACTATGTATTTATTGTTTTGCTGCTATTTGATAATAGATTAAAAGTTTTCAAGATTAGTCATTATGTTATTATATTATGTTTCCGGCTAATTATCCCGTGGATGTTAATAAAGTATTTTTGTGTGATCAATAGTCTAAGCCTACAACTAACAATAAATGATATGCAGACAAGTCTATACATAGTCATGTAATGCAATCATTATTTTGCCACTACAACAAACAAGCTCATTTAAATTCAACTAATTTTGAAAAAATAATTTGAATAATTAAATTCTAAGCTTCATTGTGGTCAAAATTGTTTTTTACAGCCACGAAATTAATTCCATGGCTACATCGTCAAAATTTCCCGCTATATACGGGAACTTATAATATAGCTGCGAACCCAACTGCAGCAAAATATATAGCTACAAAGTAGTTTATGGCAAATGTTTATAACTTATCCCACATGTAGTATTTTATGAAGCAAAAACAAAAAGATTTAGCTATGGAATCACTAGTAGCATAAAATAGATTTTGTTGCCACAACTTGCATACGTAAAGCTAAATCTTAATTTCTTTTTGCCACGATGATTAGATCGTAGCAAGAATACTTCATCTACAGTTACAAAATACTTGGTAGCAAAAACATGAACATTATAGCCATATAAGTATTTTGTAACCTCTTAGTAAATTTTATAGCCACGAATCTTTTGGTAGTAAAACATACTTTGTTATAGTTTTAAGATAATTTGTGGCAATATCTATAGCTAAATGTGTGGCAAAAACTATCGTTCTTTAGTTTCAAATTATGAATGCGTAGCAAAATGCTTGGTAAAGCAACAAATTCTATTCTTAGTAGCAAAAAATCTTCATGATGTAGCTACATCAAATCCACTTTGTGGCAAGACTTTCGGCTATGTTATGTTTCTTTTATAGCTAAATGCATTGGTTGTTAGCTACGCAACTGGAAAAATACGTGGCTAACCTTTAGCTGCGCCACTTTTAGCTACGCAAGCTACAAAATAAATATTATGAAGCTATATAATTTAGCCACGTGAATTTGATATTTTAGCCACAAACAGTTCCATAGCTGCATGGGCAAATTCTTGTAGTGTATATAACTCGTTATTTCTTACTATACTATCTAATTATTTTTTTTTTAAAAAATCATCATTTTCAAAATGTAGGTCTCTTGAATTATATGTTTTTTATTTTCATTGGTACAAATATCATGTATTCCGCCTCTAATATGATCTCGCCATGCATGCATGCCAACATGTATTACAGTTATTCCAAAACACTCCACACTACATTTTGTGGTAACTCTCTTTACATGAAGTTCAACAATTTTCGCTTGCAAAAACACAAGAGTTCTTGAAATCCTTGTATTCTAACATTGTATTGTGTGCTAGTGAAACCAAAGCTAGCGAACGAGGTTGTGGCCGAGTGGAAGTGGTTGTACCGCAGGTTTTCAGTCTGGATCACCTCCAAATTCGAATCTCAGAGACGACGCTCGTATCCCCCTTTCCCCACCCTTTTAGTAACACCCTATAACAGGTCTCCGGGAGAAGAAAAAAAAAATCAGAGCTATACATTAGTTGCCTAATCAATAATTTTGTTATTATTAATTACAGATTGGGCGCGTGGGTTACTGAGTTGCGGTTCTTAAGCCTGAATCCCCGTTCTCGAGCTGTGCCTCCTCTTGCTTTTGATTAGGAATCTTGTCGTCAGAGAAACAAAACTTCGTCAGCTTTCAATTTTACTCTTCTGTTATTACGCAACCTCTTCCTTCTCTGGGACGTATTAAAAGCAATTGCTGTGAGTGTCAGATGATGTGTGTGTGTGCATGTAGAGAAATTAACAGTAAACAAATCAAAAGTTGTACTGCTGCTTTAGCTTTCACCGATCCCGCCGGCGACGCATTAGTAACCTAACCCATTTATTTATTACAAAATCAGCCAACCTAAACTAAGCTATTTAGAGTATTATTACCTAATACTCTCATGTAGAGAGATTCACATATCTCCATGAGAGAAAAAAGCTACACATTTGGATGCACAATTAGTCATTAGATCAAAGTTACACTTCCTCATCCCACTATGCATATGTAGAAAGAGAGTTTTTATCCATAGAGTCGGAGATAACTCTCTGAAACTTGTACAAATCGTGTTATTCATGGTTGTTGACCTGTTTTGACCCTAATTCGTTGGGGAAAAAACGAGCCAAAACACACTCGTGGGTCGAACCGTTGCTAGATTTTCTGGGTTGGAGTTGGTTTTCCCTTTGGTAATTTGCGAAATGGTCCTCTTTTTCCGATTTTTGTATTCGTCTAATCATATCTTAATTTGAAATTCTAAATTAAACATATATTGACGCTATATAAGTGTGTGAATTTTTTAATATACGTTTGGATCCAAATAGACATTCGTCCTTATCAGCTGCCATAGCACGCACCAGTCATACTTGAATAAGCTTGATGCCAGCTTGACATTAATTAATATTAACCCCCTTATTATTACTGCAACCAATTAAGCTTAGCATTAATTATTAATTAGCCAGAAACAAAAGATCTCGCAATCCTTAATTTGGACAACATGAGATGGGACCAATATCTGACATTGTCGAACCTTCAAATCCCTATTTTCTTTGCCTTTTTTCTTCTTTCTTTTTTGACCAATGTCTCTTTCCATATGTTGGATGAACTCATAAAAAGGGCCTCCCAACTCCCTTTTCTTCTTTACTCACTTGTTTGCTGAATTGCATACAGTTTTTAAATTTGAAACAGAAAAATAACATCTCTTCACTTCTTTTAAGATCAACTTTCTAAAATTTGAAAGAAAAATCTCTCCCCTATCTATTGTACCATACGGGAGATAAAATCCGAACTCACTACATAATTAGTATTTCCACAATACAGTAACAACGATGTAACACAGTTATCAGATGTTCAAATACTACCAATTTATAGTTAGATTAGACGTTAATAACTCATTATGAAAAGGACGATTAACGATGATATTATGTTTCTTCCATTTTTTAAGGTAACTAAAAGGACAATTGGAGATTTTTCTCATATCCCACTAGCTATATTGAAACCCATTTTAAATATAAAATATAAAAAATTAATCATTTCTTAATCATATATATATCTAGACCCCCAATTGATCATAGAAAGGCAACAAAAATTGAGGAAACTATCCCCACAAGACACACACACATCCATCAATCAATCAACCTCACAAAGAGAAAGGATGATGACCAAAATCCATGACATGAGCACACACAACTTCCCCTTTAAAATACCCACCAAGTTTTTTTTTTTTTGACAAAGAAAATACCCACCAAGTTGAAGGGCAATTTCCCTATAAACCCACACCTCTCCTCTCTATATAAACACACACACATACCCTCCATTCCAAAGGACACACAACCCCCCACCACACATTCAAAACCCACCAAAAGCAAAAAAAGAATACACTATGGCCTATCTCAAGACTCTCCAACCTTCTCACCAAAACTTCTCAACAAACAATCCTTCCCCTCCTTCTTCCACAACAACAACTTCCTTAGCCACAATGAAGAGCATCAAAGCCCTAATCCACAGCCTGATCGTGGCTCACATCTGCCGCGCCTTTCGAGCCCTCCGACGAGCCAAATCCATCCTCCTCCAAGCCCTCAGGGACCACAAGCACGACCTCCACCACTTCCCTTACCTCCTCACCGGCAGTCATAACAACAGCAAGCAGAAGAAGGTGTTCTTTGGTTCCTTCCGGCTCCACTACAACTGGGGCTCCACCTCCTCCTCCCACGTCCTACCTGTCCCCGAATCCGTCCTACGTGGCTGCCACGGCACCACCGGTGCCGACCAGTCGTCCGAGTCCACGCTGGCAGGGTACCTCCTCTGGCTGGAAGAGAAAGACCGCCACCTAAGCAACAACAAGGCATGCGGCGGTGGAGGGAAAGATGGTGGTGATGATGACGTGGCGGCTGGAGGAGGAGGAGGAGGGGTGGTGAACGAGATCGACATGCTGGCGGAGATGTTCATCGCCGACTGCCACGAGAAGTTCCAGCTGGAGAAGCAGGAGTCGCTGAGAAGATTCCACGAGATGCTGGCGAGAAGCATGTGAGTTGGTCGAGATTTGCGCTGGACAAAAAAAAAAATCAAAGATTTCGTGAGAGTGAAGGGAAGGGAAGACGAGAAAACAAAAGGAGAGAAATTGGGCCCTAAGGGAGAGCTTTCACGTTCTTCTATGAGATATAAAAAAAAAAAAAAAAAAGGTGGCCTGGTTATTTGGAGGGATTTGAGGGGGAAGTACAAAGAAACATGCTTAGGAGGAAGGTTAAGGTATACGTTAATTAATTAAATTAGACTTAGCTGATGAGCTTTTGTTTCTTCTGCTGGTTTGGTTTCTTTCGGATCTATTTTTTGGTAATGTAAAGTGAGGTTTGCATTTAATCTTTCTGTGCCCAAATATAATTAGTGTTTGAGATTAATGCAAACTAAGTCCATCTTGTTACAAATGGGAGTTGATTTAATTGGTTAACGAAGTGTTTGGGTGGGTCAAAGTTAGTTTGGGGGAGGACGTGGGATTTTGGTAGAGAGGTGCGATTGCATGATCTCTACTTATTAACTACTACGACTAACATGCACCTTGCATTGAGATCATGACGTGTCCATGGGATGGGAATGAGTATCCGTATCTTTGCGTGGTGAACGATATATAATTATGAACGATTTTTCATTCAAAATTAGTTGATAATCGGCGAGATAGATTGTTATATAGTAGGTAATTAGGACATAGGAGTCATTTAGCTAGCTAACTAGCTGATTTCACCGATTGATTCCAACCGCAAATCAGTCCATTGGTTGATTTCGTTGAAATATATCGTTTGGCTTCGGCGGTTCTTTTGGTTATGATTTGTAGGTTGATTTTTCATATTTTTCCAACCTACCCGTATATTTAAGATATACTCATCTCAAATGATTTATAATTATGGACATTTTTAATTACTATCTCTAAGAATTATTATTATAAATTAATAAAAAATAAAAAGACAAAGTAGGAAAGATAATATGGTCTTTTAATCATAAGATTCACAATGCATTACTCTCGATATACTGGTTAAAATATGTCATCTACACAATTACATTTTCACAATTTCCCATTCCTTAAGTATTTCGAAAACTATCTTCAGAATCAACCACTTTTGACAATCCAACTATTAAAAAATAACCTAATTAATCGTTTGCACATTGCATGAATTAAGAATTGGTTAACACATATCACTATAATTTTATAACTGGAATGGATGACTTGCTTATTAGATTGTCCAGTCTTTTGAGATTGTGATCTTAAAGAAAGTAAAATTTTGAGTAATTACTTACTAACTTTACTAGATCCAACAAATTTTGAAAGCGATTTTCCAAGAAATTTGACAAACATTGTTTAATGATCCATAGAAGTCAAAAAGTGCCCAATCTTCAAGACATCTAGGAACTAAAATAAGAAAAAGGTACTAATTAATTAAAGGGAATCATGCATATATTGTAATCTTCTTGCTAATTGAGTATCACACCACTCCTAGTGAATAGATGATGCATATAAATCACTAATTAATTTATTAGCAAATGGAGCAAAACCCTTGGCGTCTGTGCCAATGATTATTAATATTTTTTTGTGTGTTCTGCAGTGCGATCAAATAAATTAAATCCATCTCTACTAGCCTTCTTGATTTCAGTTTGGAGTAGGTTTGTGTAGGTAGGTATTTGAACATCTCTACCTCAAGTTCTGGGAAAAAGCTACAATCTTTATTAAATGATATGATGCTTTAATTCAAAGTTAAATGTGAAACAACCAAGAAAAAGAGAAGCGCTTCTATTATATATATGACATAGCTAGCTACCTAGCCAGTTTGGTGTATAGAATAAGAAGGTAAAAAAAAAAAAATATATGGACATTTCGGGATTTAATTTACCAAAATTTGAAGGCCGTGTTAGTTCTCAAGTTTCGAGTTTATGAGAGGCCAAAATGCAATGAGGAAGATGTTGATTCCCTCTCGATTTGTTGAGGAATATTGCACTTTGTTACTACATTGTTGCAAATCCCAAAAGGGATTAATAGCACATATCACATATGCTGAGATGATCAATAACCCCCCAATCGCAATTTGGCATGCATGGCTCCCAACTTTTAAAATAAGACAAGAAGATCACAATGAGATATTGGGGAAATCGCAAAAGGAAAGAAGTTTGACGAAACTTATTATATGCTAATACAATGCAACTTCACCTTCCACATGCAAATGACAAGACTAGACAGAGAGATATCAGGATATGGACTTGTAAACGTAGGATAACAAAAATATCCGTAACCGTGGATATCAATTTGAATCTGACCTAATCGGGTAGGATAAAACTCGAACCCGAAGCATTTTTCATGGATACGGGTAAAACTCGAATATTGTGGGTAATGGGTGGGCATGGTTTTCTCACTATCCAACCCGAACCCGCCTGATTATACACATGTATATGTATTTTGTCTAGAAATAATAATTATTTTTCTCTAGAATATTTTATATTTAGCATATAAATATAATATTTTTCATGAAATTATGTTGTTTTAATTAATTTTCTTCATTCTATTGAATTATTGCCGTACTTTTCCTCTTACATAGTGTGAGTATACGTGTGAATGTTAACATATTGGTTGGAATTATAAGGGAAAATTATTGCCCATGGATAACCGGGGATACCCGAAACCCGAACGGGTATGGGCATGGTTTTGATTTTCTACCCATTTCTCGTGTGGGTATGGGTATGAGTAAAACGCGAATTGCATTGGGTAGGGTAACGGATATGCACTAACCGCCCCCGACCCATTGTCATCCCTACTTGTGCGTACAATAAGGACATAGGCTTCTAATAATTTTTCCAACTACTCACTCCATCACCTGGGATAAAATGAGTTGAGATGTCCATTAACGGGTTGACGTTTGCCTGAAACAATCCTTCTTTTCATTTTAATATTAAACGAATCTCATGGTTTGTGTTAGAAAATTAGGAATTGGGGTTCACTCATTAAAAGTTAGGGTATTATAGTATTGTGTCCAAAACTACGGTTAATTCTTGATTTAAATAGCAAAACTCAATGTACGTACAGTAACATACGCTCAACCATATATTAATTGTGTTGGTTGGGAAAAGGCTGGTACATATTTTTGTTAGTAATGGCAGTTGCTGCTCGTTTCGTTTTATTCTCTTGTGCGTTCCTTTATTCCAGAACTTGCTTTTTCCACTGCTTTTCTTTCTTTGTGGTAATTAAAGAGTGAGTAAAATGGATAAAGAACTTTGTTGGTACACAGTAACAGTAGTGAGTGGATGAGAATCGAATCATTTTTTTTGTTCCATTGGTCTCCTTGTTTCCTTGTTTGTGCACCATCTTCATCAATAAGCTACTACACTACTTCTTGCCTGTTTAATGCAATAAATGGTACCAAAAAATATACAGGAAAAGTTAGTTATAGGATACTTTGTACTACGATAGTCGATATTTCCTATATGATAAGCCGATACGGTAAAACTTCTAAAACATTGGTTGTAAATTGTAATATTTATCCATTCCACTAAAAAGAGGAAATCGTACAGATACAAAGAGAATAATAGAGTCAAGAAGCTCTAAAACATAACCAAGAACAAAAGTCGAACATCCTCAATATGGGAGGCGACAAAATCAGAATATGACGGATCACACAATAAACCGCTCTGTTTCGATCTCTACCTATGTAGATGACAGTAAGAAATGCTAACACTAGCCCAAACTAGAGCACCGAATAGGCCTACAATATCAGAGCAAGGCTTTGTCACAGAAGCCCATTGCCATGGCACGACTTTACCTTTTACGTGGGCCTAGCAGCGGCCCAATCCATACGGTCTTTTTTCTTGTGAATGTCAGGCCACAAAGTTAAGTACGGCCGTCGTCCCTTCTCTTCAGCAAAACTATGAGCAGTCATGAACCTGCTCCAGCCTCCAGGTTGGGTGGTCTCTGGGTAGATAGGAAGTTATTAAATAGGAAAAAAGTAGTTTAACCTTTTTAATGATGAAATACCACAACATGGAAATGTTTAATCGAAAAAAATAATTAAAATCAAATTACCACGTCACAAACTGAAATTTCCGCATTCTAAAATAATGCAGCATTTCGATTTAAAGTCCCACATAACAAAAATGTTTTTTTTATAAGGGTGATATAGGTTTTATTTACGAAAATATTTTTTTTTTATAAGGGTGATATAGGTTTTATTTTGTTGTTATTAAGGTACTACTTAAGGGATTCGAACCTCGGACCTCCAGGTTCTAGGCTAGTGGTATTTTCACTAGACCAAGCCATTGTTCGTCCCACATAACGAAAATTATGCATCCAAATGACTCGATAAGTATCAAAGAAAAAGAAATATGGATTGTATGGCTAGAGATAAGGGAGTAAATGAGCAGATTGAGATTTACAGTTAAAATTTTTTTTTTGGTAAAGAAAGTAACGAGGCTGACTATATTTTAACCCAATCCAATGTAATTGTAACATCCCGAATCTTTTTCCGACGAAGATATTGTCCGCTTTGGGCCTCTACACCCGCACGGTTTTCGACTTGGGGTGCAATTCAAGGTGACTTCCCATAAGGTCACCCATCCTTGTTGTACTCCACACTGAGCACGTTTAACTTTGGAGCTCTCATAAGAACTCCTCCGTTACACCCCAAAACGCGTCTTGTCAGTTAAGGTCGGTTTTCTATTTATGAACCATGGATCTCTCACGTGCTTTTGTCGATGTGGGATTTGCCTAAGGTGTTACAGTAATTGTGATGGAGAATTTTTTGAAAGAAGATACCATCAATTTGCTATCCTCTCAACTGAGAGAAATTGTAATATTGCTCGTCTTGTTTAACTAAATGATATAGATTAGAGATGACAAACGAATTGGATTCGTGGATTTATGAATTGAATTAAATGGATTCATGAATTAAGTAGCATCTATACCTTGGATCATTATTAATTTTAAAAAAAGTTTAGGTCATTATATAAAAAAAATTATCAACAAGAATATTTTCATTGAAAAATTGATTTTACGTATCAAATTGTAAAATATAAAAGTATCATTTCCCAACAATCCATTAATCCAATATAAGAATCCACCCATCATTTGATTTTCGATTGAATATATTAAATCCAAACGATTTGTATTAATCGGAATTTTTAGTAGATAGATTGGA